TAAAGATTAGTTCACAGTTTACTCTATCAAATAAGAAGAAAAAGTTAGACAAAAATCATTAGGATCATAATATGGTGACAAATCTGATTGTTAAGAGACGAGGAACTGACCAAATATGTAAAAAAACTTTGTATAAAAAAATTTGACAATGAAAATTTATAGTGACATTTAGTTAAAACAAGTGCTACTCCATTCCTTAGAGTATCTTCTTAAAATTTAATGCATTTTTTCTATCTTCTCCTTTTTGTGATGTTTTTTGGTTCATACTCCTTCAATGAAGAAAGTTTCCGCCTCCTTGGATTAGGCAAACTAAATTTACTTCCTGAATGCGATGTTTCTCTTTGCAAGCTATCTATTGAATCATCCTACTACAGAAAATAAGCAATAATTATTGACATACTTGATTAAAGATAATTCCGAATAAATATGAGTACCACCAAAATTTAAAAAGGAACCTGAAACGTGAAAATAAATTTTATACAAGATTTAAACCTGTAAAATCAAGACACTCCAGAACACAAAAAGCATAGTAGTAGCACCATTTTGTTCCATTAAACTATTGTCTTTTAAGTTTTAAAAGGAATAAACCATAAGAACACAAAATATACAAAACACATTCAAGGTCACCTCGTGAATACAATCAATACTATTTGGTTCCATCAAGCTAGGGTGATGAGCATCACTCTGATGGACAAAAGCTGTCTCATTAAGATTAGCCTCATTTGCATAAGTACTCAGAAATATTATGCCATTTAATTTCTACGTTGATGCAGCAAGCATGCGAGATTCATGTAATTTTAATTTTTTACCATCTTTAATTTTCTTCGGTTACTTCTTCTTTTTTATTTGTAGTCAAATTTATACCATTTGATAATTATACATTTAAAATCAATTTCGATAAAACTATCCAAACAACATTACTAGATAACGATTACTTCTAATTTATTTTATACAAACATAAATCAATTCTGTTAAATTTAATTATCTTAAAATCAATTTTCCTAAATTCAAATTTCTCATAATTATTTTGACCAGGGCCAATCCAAACACACTTGGTGACACTAAAAATTTATTATTAAAAGTCAAATAACTATAGATATAAAAGTCTGCAAAATTTTTAGTAACACTCTCATTTAATGTCAACTGTAAAGGGAAGCTAAATATTGTTAGAAAAGAAAAATAATTATATTATTTAAAACACAAGTACAAGAAGTGTTAGACAATATAACCAAACTAGCTACAGTGAAACATTTTCCTACAATTACATTGAATGTCACTGTATACTATGCTAATATTACAAATAATAGAAACTTTACTTACGGATTCTTTTGTTTTATCTGTAACTAAAACTTCAATTAATATAATTTTATTATATAAAATACAATAAATTTATAATTTCAATTAATATAATTTTATCATATAAAAATATAATAAATTTAGAAATTTAATTTTTAATATAATTGAGAAACATTACCATTAAAATAAAAGAGACTCGATTAAGATATTTTACAATACATTTTGAACCATGACAAAGCTAAATAACTTAAATTAAACTATTATATCATTGTCTATTAAACAAATTAAAATAGTTCAACATAGAAAACTTGATGTCATATTATATTAATATAAACTAATTACAAAAGAAATCATATCCTTAAAATCTTACTATATATTTGAATTTGCATGTTTTCTAACCAAAACTCTCTTACCAAAAATAAGTTAGATACATCTGAGACAAAAATAATAAGAAGTACTTCCTGCTAAAGCAACACTAACATTATTTTTTCCATGTTTTGAAGTACAATCTTAGGATCATATACCAAATACATCATAAAAATACCTCCTCTAATTTAAAATATATATGTACTACTCACTTTTAGTTCTAAGTTGTATAGCTAATATAGGTCTTTTGTTGGACATGAACTACTCGTAAAAGAAAAACTATACACGTACAAATCATTTATTGGCTTTCATAGTGCACCGTGTTTCTCCATTTGTCTTTCAATTCAACCTAATAAACTAAATTTGATTGACATTAAAATCAAAAAAAGAAATGACTAATACCTATTAATTATACTTACTTCAGTTTTCTATTCAAGTGTATAAGCATTAAAGATTAGTTCACAGTTTACTCTATCAAATAAGAAGAAAAAGTTAGACAAAAATCATTAGGATCATAATATGGTGACAAATCTGATTGTTAAGAGACGAGGAACTGACTGAATATATATAAAAAAACCTTGTATAAAAAAATTTGACAATGAAAATTTATAGTGACATTTAGTTAAAATAAGTGCTACTCCATTCCTTAGAGTATCTTCTTAAAATTTAATGCATTTTTTCTATCTTCTCCTTTTTGTGATGTTTTTTGGTTCATACTCCTTCAATGAAGAAAGTTTCCGCCTCCTTGGATTAGGCAAACTAACTTTACTTCCCGAATGTGATGTTTCTCTTTGCAAGCTATCTATTGAATCATCCTACTACAGAAAATAAGCAATAATTATTGACATACTTGATTAAAGATAATTCCGAATAAATATGAGTACCACCAAAATTTTAAAAGGAACCTGAAACGTGAAAATAAATTTTATACAAGATTTAAACCTGTAAAATCAAGACACTCCAGAACACAAAAAGCATAGTAGTAGCACCATTTTGTTCCATTAAACTATTGTCTTTTAAGTTTTAAAAGGAATAAACCATAAGAACACAAAATATACAAAACACATTCAAGGTCACCTCGTGAATACAATCAATACTATTTGGTTCCATCAAGCTAGGGTGATGAGCATCACTCTGATGGACAAAAGCTGTCTCATTAAGATTAGCCTCATTTGCATAAGTACTCAGAAATATTATGCCATTTAATTTCTACGCTGATGCAGCAAGCATGCGAGATTCATGTAATTTTAATTTTTTACCATCTTTAATTTTCTTCGGTTACTTCTTCTTTTTGATTTGTAGTCAAATTTATACCATTTGATAATTATACATTTAAAATCAATTTCGATAAAACTATCCAAACAACATTACTAGATAACGATTACTTCTAATTTATTTTATACAAACATAAATCAATTCTGTTAAATTTAATTATCTTAAAATCAATTTTCCTAAATTCAAATTTCTCATAATTATTTTGACCAGGGCCAATCCAAACACACTTGTTGACACTAAAAATTTATTATTAAAAGTCAAATAACTATAGATATAAAAGTCTGCAAAAATTTTAGTAACACTCTCATTTAATGTCAACTGTAAAGGGAAGCTAAATATTGTTAGAAAAGCAAAATAATTATATTATTTAAAACACAAGTACAAGAAGTGTTAGACAATATAACCAAACTAGCTACAGTGAAACATTTTCCTACAGTTACATTGAATGTCACTGTATACTATGCTAATATTACAAATAATAGAAACTTTACTTACAGATTCTTTTGTTTTATCTGTAATTAAAACTTCAATTAATATAATTTTATTATATAAAATATAATAAATTTATAATTTCAATTAATATAATTTTATCATATAAAAATATAATAAATTTAGAAATTTAATTTTTAATGTAATTGAGAAACATTACCATTAAAATAAAAGCGACTCGATTAAGATATTTTACAATACATTTTGAACCATGACAAAGCTAAATAACTTAAATTAAACTATTATATCATTGTCTATTAATTAAATTAAAATAGTTCAACATAGAAAACTTGATGTCATATTATATTTATATAAACTAATTACAAAAGAAATCATATCCTTAAAATCTTACTATATATTTGAATTTGCATGTTTTCTAACCAAAACACTCTTACCAAGAATAAGTTAGATACATCTGAGACAAAAATAATAAGAAGTACTTCCTGCTAAAGCAACACTAACATTATTTTTTCCATGTTTTTAACTACAATCTTTGGATCATATACCAAATACATCATAAATATACGTCCTATAATTTAAAATATATATGTACTACTCAATTTTAGTTCTAAGTTGTATAGCTAATATAGGTCTTTTGTTGGACATGAACTACTCGTAAAAGAAAAACTATACACGTACAAATGATTTGTTGGCTTTCAGAGTGCACCATGTTTCTCCATTTGTCTTTCAAAACAACCTGATAAACTAAATTTGATTGACATTAAAATCAAAAAAAGAAATGACTAATACCTATTAATTATACTTACTTCAGTTTTCTATTCAAATGTATAAGCATTAAAGATTAGTTCACAGTTTACTCTATCAAATAAGAAGAAAAAGTTAGACAAAAATCATTAGGATCATAATATGGTGACAAATCTGATTGTTAAGAGACGAGGAACTGACCAAATATGTAAAAAAACTTTGTATAAAAAAATTTGACAATGAAAATTTATAGTGACATTTAGTTAAAACAAGTGCTACTCCATTCCTTAGAGTATCTTCTTAAAATTTAATGCATTTTTTCTATCTTCTCCTTTTTGTGATGTTTTTTGGTTCATACTCCTTCAATGAAGAAAGTTTCCGCCTCCTTGGATTAGGCAAACTAAATTTACTTCCTGAATGCGATGTTTCTCTTTGCAAGCTATCTATTGAATCATCCTACTACAGAAAATAAGCAATAATTATTGACATACTTGATTAAAGATAATTCCGAATAAATATGAGTACCACCAAAATTTAAAAAGGAACCTGAAACGTGAAAATAAATTTTATACAAGATTTAAACCTGTAAAATCAAGACACTCCAGAACACAAAAAGCATAGTAGTAGCACCATTTTGTTCCATTAAACTATTGTCTTTTAAGTTTTAAAAGGAATAAACCATAAGAACACAAAATATACAAAACACATTCAAGGTCACCTCGTGAATACAATCAATACTATTTGGTTCCATCAAGCTAGGGTGATGAGCATCACTCTGATGGACAAAAGCTGTCTCATTAAGATTAGCCTCATTTGCATAAGTACTCAGAAATATTATGCCATTTAATTTCTACGTTGATGCAGCAAGCATGCGAGATTCATGTAATTTTAATTTTTTACCATCTTTAATTTTCTTCGGTTACTTCTTCTTTTTTATTTGTAGTCAAATTTATACCATTTGATAATTATACATTTAAAATCAATTTCGATAAAACTATCCAAACAACATTACTAGATAACGATTACTTCTAATTTATTTTATACAAACATAAATCAATTCTGTTAAATTTAATTATCTTAAAATCAATTTTCCTAAATTCAAATTTCTCATAATTATTTTGACCAGGGCCAATCCAAACACACTTGGTGACACTAAAAATTTATTATTAAAAGTCAAATAACTATAGATATAAAAGTCTGCAAAATTTTTAGTAACACTCTCATTTAATGTCAACTGTAAAGGGAAGCTAAATATTGTTAGAAAAGAAAAATAATTATATTATTTAAAACACAAGTACAAGAAGTGTTAGACAATATAACCAAACTAGCTACAGTGAAACATTTTCCTACAATTACATTGAATGTCACTGTATACTATGCTAATATTACAAATAATAGAAACTTTACTTACGGATTCTTTTGTTTTATCTGTAACTAAAACTTCAATTAATATAATTTTATTATATAAAATACAATAAATTTATAATTTCAATTAATATAATTTTATCATATAAAAATATAATAAATTTAGAAATTTAATTTTTAATATAATTGAGAAACATTACCATTAAAATAAAAGAGACTCGATTAAGATATTTTACAATACATTTTGAACCATGACAAAGCTAAATAACTTAAATTAAACTATTATATCATTGTCTATTAAACAAATTAAAATAGTTCAACATAGAAAACTTGATGTTATATTATATTAATATAAACTAATTACAAAAGAAATCATATCCTTAAAATCTTACTATATATTTGAATTTGCATGTTTTCTAACCAAAACTCTCTTACCAAAAATAAGTTAGATACATCTGAGACAAAAATAATAAGAAGTACTTCCTGCTAAAGCAACACTAACATTATTTTTTCCATGTTTTGAAGTACAATCTTAGGATCATATACCAAATACATCATAAAAATACCTCCTCTAATTTAAAATATATATGTACTACTCACTTTTAGTTCTAAGTTGTATAGCTAATATAGGTCTTTTGTTGGACATGAACTACTCGTAAAAGAAAAACTATACACGTACAAATGATTTATTGGCTTTCATAGTGCACCGTGTTTCTCCATTTGTCTTTCAATTCAACCTAATAAACTAAATTTGATTGACATTAAAATCAAAAAAAGAAATGACTAATACCTATTAATTATACTTACTTCAGTTTTCTATTCAAGTGTATAAGCATTAAAGATTAGTTCACAGTTTACTCTATCAAATAAGAAGAAAAAGTTAGACAAAAATCATTAGGATCATAATATGGTGACAAATCTGATTGTTAAGAGACGAGGAACTGACTGAATATTTATAAAAAAACCTTGTATAAAAAAATTTGACAATGAAAATTTATAGTGACATTTAGTTAAAATAAGTGCTACTCCATTCCTTAGAGTATCTTCTTAAAATTTAATGCATTTTTTCTATCTTCTCCTTTTTGTGATGTTTTTTGGTTCATACTCCTTCAATGAAGAAAGTTTCCGCCTCCTTGGATTAGGCAAACTAACTTTACTTCCCGAATGTGATGTTTCTCTTTGCAAGCTATCTATTGAATCATCCTACTACAGAAAATAAGCAATAATTATTGACATACTTGATTAAAGATAATTCCGAATAAATATGAGTACCACCAAAATTTTAAAAGGAACCTGAAACGTGAAAATAAATTTTATACAAGATTTAAACCTGTAAAATCAAGACACTCCAGAACACAAAAAGCATAGTAGTAGCACCATTTTGTTCCATTAAACTATTGTCTTTTAAGTTTTAAAAGGAATAAACCATAAGAACACAAAATATACAAAACACATTCAAGGTCACCTCGTGAATACAATCAATACTATTTGGTTCCATCAAGCTAGGGTGATGAGCATCACTCTGATGGACAAAAGCTGTCTCATTAAGATTAGCCTCATTTGCATAAGTACTCAGAAATATTATGCCATTTAATTTCTACGCTGATGCAGCAAGCATGCGAGATTCATGTAATTTTAATTTTTTACCATCTTTAATTTTCTTCGGTTACTTCTTCTTTTTTATTTGTAGTCAAATTTATACCATTTGATAATTATACATTTAAAATCAATTTCGATAAAACTATCCAAACAACATTAATAGATAACGATTACTTCTAATTTATTTTATACAAACATAAATCAATTCTGTTAAATTTAATTATCTTAAAATCAATTTTCCTAAATTCAAATTTCTCATAATTATTTTGACCAGGGCCAATCCAAACACACTTGGTGACACTAAAAATTTATTATTAAAAGTCAAATAACTATAGATATAAAAGTCTGCAAAATTTTTAGTAACACTCTCATTTAATGTCAACTGTAAAGGGAAGCTAAACATTGTTAGAAAAGAAAAATAATTATATTATTTAAAACACAAGTACAAGAAGTGTTAGACAATATAACCAAACTAGCTACAGTGAAACATTTTCCTACAGTTACATTGAATGTCATTGTATACTATGCTAATATTACAAATAATAGAAACTTTACTTACGGATTCTTTTGTTTTATCTGTAACTAAAACTTCAATTAATATAATTTTATTATATAAAATATAATAAATTTATAATTTCAATTAATATAATTTTATCATATAAAAATATAATAAATTTAGAAATTTAATTTTTAATATAATTGAGAAACATTACCATTAAAATAAAAGAGACTCGATTAAGATATTTTACAATACATTTTGAACCATGACAAAGCTAAATAACTTAAATTAAACTATTATATCATTGTCTATTAAACAAATTAAAATAGTTCAACATAGAAAACTTGATGTCATATTATATTAATATAAACTAATTACAAAAGAAATCATATCTTTAAAAAATTACTATATATTTGAATTTGCATGTTTTCTAACCAAAACTCTCTTACCAAAAATAAGTTAGATACATCTGAGACAAAAATAATAAGAAGTACTTTGCTAAAGCAACACTAACATTATTTTTTCCATGTTTTTAACTACAATCTTTGGATCATATACCAAATACATCATAAACATACCTCCTCTAATTTAAAATATATATGTACTACTCAATTTTAGTTCTAAGTTGTATAGCTAATATAGGTCTTTTGTTGGACATGAACTACTCGTAAAAGAAAAACTATACACGTACAAATGATTTATTGGCTTTCATAGTGCATCGTGTTTCTCCATTTGTCTTTCAGTTCAACCTGATAAACTAAATTTGATTGACATTAAAATCAAAAAAAGAAATGACTAATACCTCACTACGCCAAAAACAAGTTTTAACAGCGCCTCTACTAAAGCGCTTATTGAAAAAGCGCTGCCATAGCCTTCACAAAAAACAAAATTAAAAAAAAGGGAAACCTACGAAGGCGCTTTTTTAAAAGCGCTGGCATAGGGTTCCCTACCAAAGCGCTTTTCAGAAAGCGCTTTCATAGGTATTTGAAATATCTAACCTACGAAAGCGCTTTTGAAAAGCGCTTTGGTAGGGAACCCTATGCCAGCGCTTTTGAAAAGCGCTTTGAAAGGGGGACCTACGAAAGCGCTTTTTACCTCAGAAGCGCTTTGAAAGGGGGACCTATGCCAGCGCTTTTTAAAAGCGCTTTCGTAGGTTGTTTTTATAATAAAATTAAAAATCCCTAAATCTTCTTCATTTCTTTCGTTCAGAGCTTCTTCATTTCTTCATTTCTGCCGTCGCCGCCGTTCGTTCCTTCCTCTTCAGTCGCCGTCGCCGCCCTTCGTTCCTTCCTCTTCAGTCGTCGTCGCCGCCGTTCGTTCCTTCCTCTTCAGTCGTCGCCGCCGCCGGTCATTCCGTCTTCTCCACCTTGGTAAGATTATTTGCTTTTATTACATTGTTAATGCTGTTCAAATACATAACTAAATATGTTTTTGTAATATAGTTAATTATGTTTAATGAATATTATGTATTTGAACATTGTTAACCATATAACAAAAGATGAACAATGTATACTGTGTGATGACAAAACCAAATGGGGCTCTTCTACCTAAATTTGCAATGTTGAGCAATTTGAAACTTGGCTTTGTTAGTGTTGAAGTTTTGTTGGGCTTAATTCAAAACGCTCCTGCTCTCAATACTCACTTTTCAAGGTTGGTAATTAGCGTTTTTTAAATTTATTTATTATGCTTTGACCTTTATATCATGTCATATTTAGACTTCGTGTGATTACAAATGATTAGGGAATATTGAAATTCAACCATGAGCTTCTTAACTCTGCTGCTGTGCCAGATTGTTTGACATCCAGTCTCCAAGTTGTGAAATTTGGATATGTCCGTGGATACGAGCATGAGCTTTTATTAGCTAAATATTTAACAACCTATTCAAGCTCTCTTCATCCTTCGTCGTCCTCTCTTCATCAAACTGTAATTTACATTCAGGTGTTGTTTCTTTCCCATTCAATTTCATCTCAACATTGATTCATCATCACCCACTCTAACTACTTTACTTTATTACATTAATTAGGGTTTCGTTCTCAAAGTTTCTTGTTATTACAAAACCCTTCAACAGTTAGCAAGAACGAAACCCAAGGGATTTTGAAGGTTGGCTGTTACTTGTTAGAGGAAAGATCTAAAAGTTCATTTCACTTTTTCCATTTCTTTGGTTTGAGGTAAGAATTCTTACTCATTTTTCTTAGTTTTAGATATTGCATATTAACTGTTTGTGAAATGTTCTACATGATTGTTCCTAATTAAGGGTATGTTAGAGGGTTAGGAAAATGAAGTTGGATTTACGGGTCCTAATTTTAGGTGTATCCAACTTAGAGGAGAGAGTAGAATTCAGACCATCCTATTATGCATGTCTTGCTTCAAAAAAAACATGTTTATGCAAAATCATATTTTAGCTCTTTTTAAGAAACTAGCAAAGGGGAGGGTTATTTATCAAGTGGCTCAATTAGAAGTTTCAACTCTATGACGGATTTAGAGGTGTATCGGTGTAACAATCATATTCTGAAGAATGCCAATTCAAATGTTAGCAGAACCATTTGGGAGTCCATTACTAGATTGGGGGGAGCAAGTATATTAATTGAATGGTTTAGATTTTATTCTTATAGATAATCATGGGGTGACATTAATCTTCTAGTGAAAGAAAGGAGTAAGGTGATTGGTAATCTCTGGAATAATCTGGATATGAAGAAAATCATGTTAAGGCTCAAGTCAAGACAGTTGTGGCTAGAAAAGGAGATAAGAATTATCGATTCTTCCATAACTCCATGAAGTCCAGGATTAGATGTAATTCTATATCTATGTTGGAGGGGAATGAGGGTAGAGTGGAAGGTGCAAATGATATTAAAGAGGCAATCAAAGTGAATTTTGAGGACTTCTTCAAAGAAACCAAGTTTAATAGATCAGTCCATGAGGATTTAGAATTCAAGAAGTTTAATGCTCATGATAGGAGTTGGTTAGAAATACCTTCACCGTAGAAAAAGTTAAGGAGGTAGTATGGTCCTATGATGGATATAAAAGTGCAGACCCTGGTGATTTCTCGTTAGAGTTTTTTAAACAAAGTTGGGATGCTATTAAGGAGGATGTGTTCAGGTTTGTTTCAGATTTTCACTCTATTGATAAGTTAACCAAAGCTTGTACTACATCTTTCTTGACGCACATCCCAAAGCTAAAAAATCTGCAATCTCTTTCCAAATTCAGACCTATATGTCTTGTTGGTAGCCTTTTTGTCGAGTTTCATAATTAAGCTCAAGACAGAATGTGGATTCCAATTTACCGCAAAATTAGAGGGCATGTTAACTGACATGAAAACCTCTTTAGACACAATGCAGGGCTTTTATGCCCGCCACCCTGAGTTAGGTGATGGTCCTACACTTACTGTGCAGGTTCTAACGACAGGGTCTTGGCCATCTCTTTCTAGTGTGGCATGTAACCTTCCAGTGGAAATGTTGGAACTTTGCGAGAAATTTCAGTCATATTACCTCGGCATTCATACTGGCAGGAGATTGACATGGCAAACTAATATGGGCACAGCAGACTTAAAAGCTACTTTTGGGAAAGGTCAAAGACACGAGTTACACGTCTCAACCTATCAAATGTGTGTTCTCATGCTGTTTAATGATGCCGATAGACTAAGCTACAACGAAATTGAGCAGGTGACTGAGATTCCAGCTTCCGATTTGAAGAGGTGTCTGCAATCTTTGGCTCTGGTTAAGGGAAGAAATGTCCTTAGGAAGGAGCCTATGACTAAAGATGTCAGTGAGGATGATGCATTCTTTTTTAATGACAATTTCAGTAGCAAACTGTATAAGGTAAAAATAGGAACTGTAGTTGCAACAAAGGAATCAGAACCAGAGAAACTGGAAACTCGACAAAAAGTACAAGAGGACCGGAAGTTGCAAATTGACTCGGCAATAGTAAGGATTATGAAAGCTAGGAAGCAACTTGATCATAACAATCTTATAGCTGAGGTCACAAAGCTGTTACAGTCACGATTCCTTGCAAATGTAACTGATGTAAAGAAACGGATTGAGTCTCTTATTGAGCGGGAATTTATGGAGAGAGATAATAGAGACAGAAAGCTTGTTTTATATAGATACTTCAAAGGTTTTAAAGGAAATTCGAAGCATTCAAAGCAACTTTCTATGGTGTGGCTGCGATAGCAAGAGGCCTATCTAGTAGGTTAGTTGGAAAACAGTTTGCAGCAATCATAAATTTTAAGGCTTGCTTAACCCCTGATTATTACAGCAACCAAACATTTGGAAAACAGTTGGAAAACAGTTTACAAACATTTACAAAACAGTTGGAAAACAGTTTACAGCAAAAAGAAATAGAGACAAAAATGAGAGTATGAATGAAACATGAATCAGACCTTAACAATAACATGGTTAGAAATGGGTTGTTGTGAACTTGAAAAGGGTGTTTTCAGTCTTTTAGACCCCATTGGTTTCACAGGTATAGAACTCTTGGAACTGAAACGCTTCTGAATACTACAAAACTTAATAGATTAGGAGATGTTATCAATCACTTATACTTGGACTCAGTTAACACTAGTGGTAGTGGAAATTGGAACACAAAGAAACTCAATAGCCTTTAAGCATGCACCTGTAATTGAACCCAAAGATATGTTCAATAGCCTTTAACCATGCATGTAGATTTTTCTCAGAAATAAAATTACATGAAAACCAACCAGTGATGGTGTGGTTCCTGTATTGCTGCAAGATAAAAATATCAGCAAAAACCTTGAAGTGGTATAAGATACTTTAAAGGGGTCAAGTTGAAGGGTAGACAAAACAAAATAATTACTATGTGATATTTGATTGGTTATTGTAGCTCCAAAAAAAGGAAAAGTTGTTCACAATGATAAATATTGATAACATAGTTGCATACCTATCAAGTCCAGATTTAGTGTCATAGAGCTGCATCGTTGCATACCTAAATAGAGCAATGTGTAATAAAGTAATACCTTTGAATAGTATGAATAGTTAGCCACAATGAAAAGATCCAATGACTCAAGACACAACTGGAAGCCTAAAATAAAGAAGCATCATTGTGAGCCTTATGACACAAAATCTTGTTATAATCAAATTTGAAGCATGAAAAGCCAATTTCAATGATTCAAGGCTGACATATAATCACACCTGCAAGTTTAGATAGATATTTATACAGGAAAAACAAAACTCATATGTAAGGGAAAATCTGTGGGACTAGTTATACAAACAACTGCAATCAGATGTATTAATCACTTTAGTTAAACAAAAACATCTGATTATTACAAAACATCTTTCATACTTTAAGGCTTGAACTTCCTGTATGGTCTGCCGTTATCTTCATCTTGCATATGCTGTAATCATAAATTAAAAAAGTCATGTCTAGGTGCAAAGAAAATCAAGATGAATTGAAAACTATAGAGCGTCATTTAACAATTAACAATACATTGCTTTTAAAATTTGATTTGAACCTAACTAAGACTTGACAAAGCTAACTTGTAAGATAAGGACTGAATATAATTGTTTGAAATCCGACTTCACTATTGTTTGAATATAATTGTTATTACCTGTATCCAAGACTGAATCACTAGTATCCGACTTCACTAGTTAGTAATTAGTGATGAGTTGTTTAGCACATGCTTAAGGTGAGGCAAGAATAACTATGAATTTGATTACCTGATATGTTGAATTTCTTTACAGGTAATTAATTATTATTTTGCTATAGTTGCGTGACTAATTAGTTGCTATAGTCAAACCATGGATAAAAAATGGATGACTGCCAATCGATTGTCGAAAGAGTATGAGGATGGGGTATCAGAATTCGTTAAGTTTGCCGTTGCGCACGCCAGAGAACCCAATGGAATGATATGTCCTTGCTTGAGATGCTGTTATGGGAGACGGGTTGACGCGGTTCAGTTGGAATCGCATTTACTGATGCATGGAATTGATAGAAGTTATGCATGTTGGAATTTGCATGGTGAGAAAAGTAGCGGGAATGTTGAATCGAGTTATAATACGACGTATGCTTCAAATGAGGATTTCGCAGACGCATACGATTATGATCGAGTCGAAGAGATTGCAGAAGCGCTTGAAGAAGATCTTGAGGATTGTCCCAAAATGTTCGAGAGGTTGGTAAGCGATGCAGAGAAACCGTTGTATGATGGTTGTACAAAATTCACAAGATTGTCTGCGGTGTTAAAGTTGTACAACTTAAAGGCGGACAACGGATGGTCGGATAAAAGTTTCACACAGTTATTAGCCCTCGTGAAAGAAATGCTACCAGAGGATAATGTTCTTCCCAATCGAACGTATGAGGCCAAAAAGATGTTGTCCTCTATTGGCATGAGCTATGAAAAGATACATGCATGTCCAAAAGATTGCGTTTTATTTCGAAACGAGTACGCAGTGTTAAATGAGTGTCCTAAATGCGGTGCCCCTCGATATAAGGAAAAGTTGTCTCCGGAAAAGGTGTTATGGTATTTTCCTATAATTCCGAGATTTAGGCGCATGTATCGTAGTGAGACCGAGTCAAGACACTTGACTTGGCATGCAGATGAAAGAATTATTGATGGGAAGTTGCGACATCCGGCAGACTCACCACAGTGGACGAAAGTTGATATTGATTATCCTGAATTTGGAAAAGAAGCAAGAAATCTTCGCTTGTCGTTGTCTACTGATGGAATGAACCCGCATGGTATTCAAAGTATCTCGCATAGCACCTGGCCTGTGATTCTTATGATATATAACCTACCTCCGTGGCTATGTATGAAGCGTAAGTACATGATGCTATCTATGTTAATTTCTGGGCCCAAACAACCAGGGAATGACATAGACGTGTACTTGGCACCCTTAGTCGAAGATTTGAAGTTTTTGTGGGAGACCGGTGTGGAGGTTTACGATGGGTATAGGAAAGAAAGTTTCAACTTGAGGGCGATGTTGTTTGGAACAATTAATGATTTTCCGGCGTACGGAAATCTATCAGGGTACAGCATTAAGGGTCAAAAAGCGTGTCCTGTTTGTGAAGATGAAACCGATACGATGCGATTGAACTTTTGTCAGAAGAATGTTTTTCTCGGTCATCGTAGATTCTTAAATTCTAATCATCACTATCGTGGGTGGAGAAAGGCATTCAATGGAGAGGCAGAACACGGTAGAGCTCCACATATGTTGACAGGTGATCAGATTTTTGAAAAGGTGAAAGATGTGAGTACTGAGTTTGGCAAGCCTTTTGCACATAGACTTGTCACGAGTGGGTGGAAGAAGAGGTCGATTTTTTTTGAACTTCCATATTGGAAGTCGTTGTACGTAAGACATTTCCTCGATGTTATGCATATTGAAAAAAATGTATTTGATAGTGTCATTGGTACGTTACTCAATATACAAGGAAAGTCTAAGGATGGCATTAACATAAGGAAGGACATGTTAAACATGGGAATTAGAACTGAATTGGCACCCGTGACGAAAGGAAGACGCACATATCTACCACCTGCTGTTTACACTCTATCTAGAAAGGAGAAGAAAATATTGTGTAAGTTCCTCAGTGAAGTTAAAGTTCCAGAAGGCTACTCATCAGATATTAGAAGACTTGTGTCAATGAAAGACCTAAAGTTAAAGAGTTTAAAGACTCATGATTGCCATGTTATAATGGAACATTTTCTACCAATAGGTATACGTTCTATTCTGCCAGAAAAAGTAAGGAGCGCAATAACTAAGTTGTGTTTTTTCTTCAAGTCAATATGCAGCAAGGTGATCGATCCTGCGATCTTACCAACATTGCAAAAAGAGGTGGTTGTTACTTTATGTGAGCTTGAAATGTATTTTCCTCCCTCGTTTTTTGACATAATGGTTCATCTAGTCGTTCATCTTGTCAAAGAGACACAGTTGTGCGGACCAGCTTATATGAGATGGATGTACCCTGCTGAACGTTATATGAAAATTTTAAAAGGGTACGTGAAAAACCGAAGTCGACCGGAGGGTTGTATTGCGGAACGATACATTGTTGAAGAAGCGGTTGAGTTTTGCACTGAATATCTGTCAAATGTTCAATCAATTGGACTCCCCAAATCTCATATTGTCGAGAAAAAAGAAGGAAAAAGACTAATTGGAAATAAAGTTGTGACAGTGTCAATGGTCGAACGGGATCAGGTGCATTTGTATGTTCTGCACAATGAGATTGAGGTTGAGCCGTATGCTGAAATGCACAAGGGTGTTCTTCGAGGTTTAAATCTGAATAGAAATGAGAATTGGATAGTACGAGAGCACAATCGAAGTTTCATACCGTGGTTTAAGGAACAAATTTATTCAAAGTATCGTTCGGATCCTGCTTCAGTAACAGAAAGGTTGAGATGTTTAGCATATGGTCCAAGTATGATTGTGTTTTCTTATAGCGCATACGCAATTAATGGATACACATTTTATACCAAAGAACAGGATGATAAAAGTACTATGCAGAATAGTGGTGTTACCTTGGTAGCTGAAGCGATGCACATATCAAGTGCGAATGACTTAAACCCGAAATTTGCAAATCTGTCATATTTTGGGGTTATCGAGCGCATTTTGTTGTTTGATTACGGGAAGTTTCAGATTCCTGTATTTGATTGCAAGTGGGTTGAAAATAATAATGGCGTACGAATGGATAAGTCAGGATTTTTGCAAGTGGATCTCAATAGGGTGGGGTACAAAGATGAACCTTTTATTCTAGCCTCTCAGGCTAAACAAGTGTTCTATGTCAATGATCCGACGAGTACGAAATGGTCTATAGTGCTTTTGTCTAACAAAGTAATTGATGAAAACATTGGAGATCAAGGTGATATTGGCGTTGGCATTGAATCTTGTACAAGAAACGATCAAAATGAGAATGAACCTTGTACTAGAGATGATCATAATGAGGGTATTTGGATCAATCCAACCATCCGAGTTGTTAACAGAAGCGTAAAATATATTGCTACCAAGAAAAGAAAGAGACGTTAGTGAAAAAGGTATTATTATAATTATAGCCTAATATTGTAAGTAATATGTGAATAATGTTTTGAATTTTTGGCATATCTTTTGAACCGTTTTGAATTTTTGCGAATGTGCTTGTGCTTAATTAGTAGAACAATGTTTCCGGAGCTGATGGTGAGGTTTATTTCTTGCAAGTTTGGTTTTTTAGCATTTTATTCAATTTTGAGTTC